GCTTCAAAAAGTCTGTGGAAAATTACATTATCTTTTCATTTCATTTTTCCATGAACTTTTTAAAGTCCCCTCATACATAGAAATGAAATGAGTTATAACAGACACTTTTTAAAAAATGTTTTATTGTGAATTATATAACAGACACTCTTATAATAAAATACTTGCATACTCAATTGTTGTTGTTAGGTTATATCGAGTCAGTTCTGACTCATAGTGACCCTGTGCACAACAGCACGAAACACTGTCCAGTCCTGCACCAACCTCACAATCGTTGCTACGTTTGAGCCCATTGCTGCTGCCACTGTGCCAATCCATCTTGTTGGGGGTCTTCCTCTTTTTATCCGACCCTCCACTTTACCCAACATGATGTCCTCATATTGGGTAAAGTGGACAATATCAATAGACAATAACATAATAATGGTCACATTGGATGTGATAAAATTAGGGTTCAACAAGTCTGTCTATGTTCTTAAATTTTATTTAACAAAATTTTGAATTTGAGAGTTTGTTTTGGCTAGAATTAGAGAATCAAAAAAGGTTCCCAGTCGCAAGGATTTCCAGTGGCCCACAGGAAATATTTACAGTAGCTTCATTCTAACACAAGTGAATTTACATTTATATTTATTTCTCTATATGGTTGGTTGTTATTGTTCACTGTGAGTCAGGGGCTGTCTCCGATAGCACTTAACAACATACATCCATGTTGTTATTGTTAAGTGCCATCAAGTTGGTCCTAACTCATAGCGACCTTATATAGGGTTTCAAGGGGCAGCTGGTGAGTTTGAACTGCCAACCTTGTGTTTAAACCATGAATTCATAGTAAGTTCCAATTCCAACCCAAGTCGGTTTCATTCTAGTGTTCTCTTTCCATAAATGAGAATTCACTTCTCAACATTGAGAAATGCTGCTCCTATCATCCTTAATGCATATATTAATATGCTCTGTCCCTTTGGGGACACTCTCATCTCCCCGCTTGGACTCCAACACCCCATGCCAGACTGCCTGTCTGTAGGGACAGGGGCCTCACCCTATGTGGGCTGATTTTCTGAGCTGGCCCCTGCTCTGGGCACCCCTTTCCTATCAAGGTTAGGATCTTGACCACCAACACTCATCCCAGCCTCCTACTTTGCCTGCCTCCCCACCCACATCTGATGGAATTAATTATTTAAAGGTGAACAAGAAACAGGAGAGAAACCAATTGTCTTTCTCTGGTTTCACTTTAAAGCACTTCCATTTAATTTTCACCTGGTCATTCAGAATGTCATGGTTCTTTCTACAATGTTTTGTCCTTAAATTATGTGATGCCTGAAAGTTGTGTCTCCCCAGGAGGATCTGGGCTACCCTGAGAGCTGGGGCTTGGCCTTCTTCTGTAAGTCCACAAGTCAGAGTCCCCTTTGTCAGGAGCTGGGAAGGCAATGGGAACAGGCCTCTGGACCCCTTCTCAGGACCCTAAATGGGAAGACAAGAGTCCAGCCTCAGGCTCTGGCTTGGCCTGATAGTCCTATCAGTCATGTGCATACCGATGCTGGGGTGGGCAGGGAGGGGAGGGTGAAGGGATGGGGAGGAAAGGACTGGCTGGCAGAGGGGCCCAGCCTTCACCCTGAAGTCTGACTTGTAACAACGCTGGAGAATAAAGCACCAGTCCAGGGAAAAGACCCAGGCTTCCGACTTGGGGTTCTGAGGGAAATGGTCCTAAAAGATCGGCTATATGGACATTGGGGGGAGGGAGTCAATAAAGAAATCCGAAGATGGCTAACAGAAGATGGCTGTCCCAGAAATGACATGGTCTTTTGAGCACTTGGGGTAATTTCCGCACACACAGTGCAGGCTGGAGCCTTCCTTCCCTTCTCTCTTTACCTGCCTCCTTCGACATGTTTTTCTAGTCTAAGGCGTTATGCATTCAGAAATCCATTTATTCCTGCAAGTGGGGCAATACAACAAACCGACTAGGGAAAAATAAACTCAACTATGCAGAATTTGGGGCTTGAATTCCAATAAAACCACAAAAACTTCCCGTCTTCCTCCACCCCCCTTCACCTGAGACTTTTGGCGCTAATACAGCGCCATCTGCTGGCTGGAAGAAGCGCCGCAGACTAAGCACCAAGTAACAGCTTCATTATTGTTAGGCTGTGAGACCACTCTTCTCAAGAAAAAAACAGTATCTTCTCAAGAAAATTCATGCCTCCTAAGCGTAGTGGTTACGAATCGGGCTGCGAACCTTAAGGTCAGCGGTTCGAAACTACCAGCCACTCCGCGGGAGAAAGATGAGGCTTTCTACTCCCGTAAAGATTTACACCCTTGGAAACCCTGTACAGGGTCGCTATGGGTCGGACCTGACTCGATGGCACTTAACAACAACAACAACATCAAAACTCAAACCCAACCCAATGAGGTGAAGTTGATTCCGCATCACACTAACCTATAGGACAGAGTGGAACTGCTCCCTGGGGTTTTCCCAGGAAGGAAAGCTATGGAAATGGATTGCCACATGGTCTTTCTCCTATGGAGCAGCTGGTGAATTTCAACTGCCAACTTTTCCATTAGAAGTCCAAAGCTTAACCCAAACCACTGCACCATATCAAAGCTGCTGGTCTTCATAAGTACCCCTTAAAATGTTCTAGGAATGAGATCAAAGGCATGGAGTTTGGTAGAGGCTAAAATTAAGTTAGAAATAAACACAGAAATGAGGATAGTAGGCAAATATAGGGTAAAAAGAGGAATTATGGTAAGGGAATATACAAGAAATAACAAAACAAAATTGAATAAAAAAATTTTATAGGCTTTTTCTCATGAAAGCTGTTCATAACATATGGACACAGAAAGACGTTTGTATCAAAGTTTCACATTCTAACATTTCTGTTTTTAAGTGAAAGACCGGAGATGCAACAAAATGACTCGAGATGCTCCATCAGAAGGTAAAGCTCCAATCTCTGCTCCAGGTCCCTTTCTCGGAGTGAGGTGCCCATGGGTACTGGCCGTCTCTAACCTGTGGTGCCAGGGGTGAGTCCTCTAACCTTTGAAAACTGATCATTTCTTGTGGACAATTCCTTGATGGGAAATCAAGAGCTTGCGAAGGCCCACATCTTTCTACCTTGCCTTGCTGGGAATGGGGATATATTTCCATACAAGTTTTTATGACATTATAGAATATCCATGTCTCAGTCTTGTTATTCATAAAATGGGCACAACACTGATGATCCTGCCTCACTCCCACTGTGAATATGAACATCAAATGAGACAAGGAATGAGATAATTACACTCTGGAAACGTTTAAGTTATACACAGACGAGCCTTAGAGCATGACTCTCAGTTGTCTGGAGTCTCCTATATTGGTAGTCAGAGGACTAACTGCTCAGCAGCTGCCTATAGAGTGCCCTGGATATCTTCTGTCTTCTCACGCTGTCTCCTGGTTTCTCAGCCAGCAGAGCTTCCCAGGAAGAAGCTGAGAATCTGCAAGAGTGGCTCTCTCTCATGGCAAGGTGATTTCTTGTTCTTTGTGGTCTGTCTCCCTAGTCTCGGCCTGGCCTGTGATGATTTCTCAGTTTAACACAGGATCAGGTGGGAGAAGGGCAGTCTGTGGGAGAGAGCCATGCACATGGGGGGAGAGCTCTGGTTCACTGGTGGGGAGAGTTCAATGAAGCGAGCTCATTGGACAGCCCAGAAGAGGACAGCCTCTCAGTCTGCTGAGGGCTGGAGCCACACTCATCCTAGGCTTCAGTTTTGACTGGTATATGACTGATAAAAGACTCCACGGGACGTGGAACTCAGCCAAGGAACACAGAATGCAGTTTGCTTAAATAAGTCCCCACTGTGATATTCCTTTGCAGCTACACTCTTTCAAAAGCAGACACCTCTACCTGATCTTGCTGGGGATGGGGATCTACTTATGTATAGCCTTCAAACATGGAGTTCATTAACCGGGGCAGTATTCAGACAGAAACCTATCATCCACGCCTCTCATTAAGATCTTCAGATAACAGGATGAGTTCCCAAGAGACACTGCTATCCACAGGACAACCCATACTCCCCACAATGCACTGTTCCTACTAGGAGGTCATCATCCAGAGTGTGGGAAACAGGCATGGCTTTCCTAGCCCCAAGGAGACTGACTCCAGGTTCCACCTGGGGACACACCATTATGCTTAGCAGCTGATACCCTCCGTGCCTGGTTTCCTTCGAGTCCAGCTTCTCACTACAGTGCAACAGAGAAGTGATCCCACCTCCCTGTCTCTCTGATGGCCCTGCCTCCTCCCCACCAGTTGTCTGATTCAAGATCAAGCCAGACCTAAAAGTCAAGTGGTAGTTTCCCAGGGGTAGGGGGTGCCGAGGGCTTCCAGACCTAGGGAGGGCAAGGCCAAGCCCCAACCACACTCTTCCAAGGAGGCAGGTGTCACTACGTCACTAACAGTTGCTGTTTGTCCCTTTCCAGACAGAACTGGCTTCCTCAAGAGGGAAGTTTGTTGCAGCTTCTGCCTGCAGACCCCTGCTGCCATGTCTCTAACCACATGACTTTGAAGACACACCTGTTGACAGGTAATACACCCTGACTGAGTCTACTTCCACGAGGGCATCATGGCTCTCCTCTTGCTTAGAGATTCGGCCCATGTCCAGGGTCTCTGAGCAGAGTCTCTGATGGGTACTAAGCCCCCCAGGCAGCGTTTGCTGTCACTTGTCACATCAGATTACCATAACTAAGACACAGCAATCCTTAACCCAAATGGCTGCTCCTTCAACTGCTCTGAGCAGCACCCAAGACTGCCAGAAGCAACAACTGCAGCTAGGGCAGAAATCTCACCTGCCAGATGTGTCCAGGGATCTCGGGACTCGGTCTACCATCAGCCTTGGGGAACCTGGGAGCCTGCAAACCATGAAAAGACCATGATGACCAACGACCATCAGCGTCTTCATGGGGTTCATGGTCAGCAGCCCTTCCAATCCCAGGTCTCTTTGCTCTCCCTGAATACAGAGCTCACTAATCAACACCTCTTACGGGCTTCTGTATGGTCACTGTCTTTCCTGCCGACTGGCCATTCCTCAGTTCTGAGGGTCTTAGGTTTCCTGAGGTCAATGCAGAAAACTGGATGTATTTCCAGAAGAGGAAACCCTGCAGATCTATGAGCAGCCCCCAAGACAGCTTATGCGGGACCCAGAGCTCTTAGAACAGACTGGAAATAACCAACCAGTTCCTTCCATCCTAAATGATCAATCTAAAGACCTTGGTAAGGCAAGAAAACAATATACGACGGGATCAATGTGAAGCTGATGTCCTCCCATGTAAATGATCACACAATTCACAATAAAGCATTTAAAAAATAAATAAAGACAGTGGTGAACCAATTTCCCACAATTCCTGAGGTTCATGTATTCTTGTCCCATCCATCTGTTCCTTCTCAGAGTCTGAATGGATCTTACGGACCCAGAACAAACCCATCACTGCCAGAACACCACAAATCCTCGGATTTGCTTTTCCCTGAGTGCGTCCTCAACATCCAACTAAAAAAATAGGTAAATTTCCAGTGAAGGAGACCCTGAAGATGTTCAAGCAAATCCAAGAGACAGCTTATACCAGACCCAACACTGTTAGGCCTGGACAGAACCAACCAGTTTCTTCTATCATAAATGATCAGTCTCATTTTGGTGGTGAAACAACTGGGCCATTTCCCACAAAACCTGAGGTTCATGTATTCTTGTCCCACCCACCCAGACCTTCCATGAGTCGGAATGGATTCCATAGGACCCAGAACAAACCCATCACTACCACATCACCACAAAAGAGGATTTGCCTTTCTCTGTCACTCCTTAAAGTCCTTGATATCCAATTAAAAAACAGGTGTATTTCAGGAATAGGAGACTGCAGCTTTTCAAGGAAATTGATGAGAGACATATGCCAGAACACTATTTTACTTACTTGGAAATAAGTCAATCAGTTCCTTCCATCATGGCTGGTAATTCTAATGCTGGTGGTAAACAATTGGAAACTGGGGTTCATCAATCCTTGCACCATTCATCGAAACATTCTTAGCTTCTGAGCGGCTCATAATGGAACCACAACAAAGCTGTCGCTACCAGAAAATCACAAATCTTGTGGCTTTGGCTTTTCTGACGTCCTTAAACTTCTAAATGACCTCTATTCAAAACTTGGAGGATGGACTTAAGACTCAGAGGATTATCTGACTCAGATGCACAGCCCCGGATTTGATATGTGTCTACACAGTGAAGCCCTAATTACTACCATCACCATCAGCAGCCCCTGCCTTGGGACTGCACAACCTTGGAGAGGGGGACTCTCCCACCACCTGCAGTCCCAGAAGTCAATGGGGCTATTGATCAGTTGTCACCCGCCCCTGGGTCACTCCCCAGGCCACACCTGCTCACCCAGGTCCACACTATGCTGCAGAGTTACATAGACTCCACATGTTGGCCGACCCACCAGTGCCCTGTCTCTGACCATGACTCTCTCTCCCGGGACTGCATAGTTCCTGCCAGCCCGGCAGCGGGTCCCTTTACATACATCCCAGGAAACCAGTCCCTAGAGCCTGGGGCAGTCACTGATTCTGACAACATCAGAAAGCTGTGACCTGGACGCCACCGGCCACTGATCAGTACCAACACATCTCACCAGGTGCTGTCATGGAGCACACTGAGCTGTCCCCATCCCTGGCCAAGGGAACCAATGAGCACCTGGAGGCTACTTTCCAGCACAAGTGTTTGGCCTTCCTGTCAGGGCTGCCTGGGGCTCTCTCGCCACCCCTGGTCCCAGCAATGATTGATGCAGAGATGATGCCCAAGTCTGGTGAAATCACAGCAGAGCCTCTGACTGAGACGGTCTCCCGGGAAGAACCAGACAGAAGTCAGAAGCCAGTCTTGCAAGAGGACAAGAAGAGTGGAGCATAGGGGCAGGAAAAAGTGGCACTCACACCACTAGGAAGTCAGACAGATACTGACGTTCCACACTCAGACAGGGCAGCTGTCATCACCAAACTCAATTTTATTTGGAAAAAAATGATTTTAGAAAAGCAGTTGGGCATTCCCCTAAAGGTAAGGGAATCCAGGGACCTACATGTAACAGCCCAACAGCATAAAACAACTCAGGAGGTTTTAGGGAGTCTAAAAAGCTGCAGAAGACCACCCCTGCATAAAATCCCCTTCCCACCAGACACTCCACATGCCCCACCTCCAGAATGGGTTCACCTTAAAGACCTGGTGATAAATGAATTAAAGGCAGTACAGCAGAGCCAGAAGTCCAGAAGGTCTGTCCCTGCCCACTGGCTCTCCAAGATCTCAGAGCCCAGTGGAGACCTGACCAATGCCCAGGTGGTGTGTGTGCAGGAGGAAGCCAGAATGAACAGCCCCAGTCTGGAGAAGGTCTGGTACCCTGAGTCCCAAGGCCCTGGCAAGAGCAAGGACTCAACCCAAGTCCCCACACTGCTGGCAAACAATCATGAAAATGCCAAACCAGCAGGGGACCATGGAGAACAGTTACATCATGTAAATATTTGCAAGCCCAAGATTCACTGGATCCTGTCTCACAGAGGCAGGTGAGAACAGCCCGCACTCACAAGAACCTCCATATTCGGGCTTCAGAAATAGGATAAATGCTTCCTGCACTGTATTGATCCAAAAACAAGGGATGAAGAATCTATGTTCTCTCCAACTGAGAAAGTATCTATAACAGGAAAAAGAAATCCATGAAGTACCTAGTCCTAGCCAAAGAACTGAAGGGACAAGCTGGAACAGAGAAGACCACAGGGGATCCCAGGGCTCAGGCTCCTCCTGCTGAGAAACGCAGGAGCCAGGATGCCTTGGGTGACCCCCAGACCCTGGACAATCAGCACCCTCACCACTCTCGTCAATTCTGGTTGGCCTCTATCCTGGGCACCTCCACCACTGTGTTCCTCACTCTTGAGTCACTTGTGCTATTCAGGAAGAGAGCCCAACCTAGGTGGTAACCAAGGAAACATTGGTCTTCCAGAAGACCCCATTTATTCACACAGTTAAAGCTTGCAAAGCCCTGCACCTCTTGTCACTGTTATTAAAGTACTGGTTGGGCACAGCATAGCCCAAATGTACCCAAATATTTGCCTCTTCTTGTCTCTTTGTGGTGTGTTAAGGGCTGGAGAGAGTCGGGAATCTATAGAGTTCTCCCCATTAGAGCATAAACTGGAATCCATGTTCAGATAAGTTAACATTCGACATTAAGTCCTTCCACAGGCCTGTTCTGGACTGTGTGCAGAGACTGCAAGGCCTTTATCTAAGGTGCACTGAGGGTGACCTTCAGGCTCATCTTCAGTCATGGCTCCCACAATGCCCTCAGCTCCATGACAACAGTGCTGACAAGGAGCAGTGGGAAATCAATACACTGCTGGTCCACCTATAGGCCCAAAGCATTCATTGGTCACTGATATATACAAATGCCTACAATCTAAGGAAGGGTTTCAAGGGAAGTGTTACAGCGCTCTTTCCTTGAAGAGGTGCTTTAATGATTTGCAAAAGCAGTGCGACACATGTCAAAACCAAAATCCAGAATCTCCCGTAGATGCTGTTCTCAGGTGCCGTCTAGTAGGTTGTGACTCTGTGTGAGGATGTGCACAACAGAAGGAAATGCCGCCAGGTCCTGCACCTTCCTCACAGTTGCTGTCACACTTGAGTCCATTGCTGTGGCCACTGTGCCCACCCATGGCTTTGGGAGTCTTTCTCTAATCCACAAATCCTCCACTTTACCGAGCTTGATGTCTTTCTCCAGAAACCGATCCCTCCTGATACTATGTCCAGAGTATGAGAGACAAAGTCTCGCCATCCTGCCTTCTAAAGATCATTCTGACTGTCCTACTTCCAACATAGATTTGTTTGTTCTGGCAGTGCATGGAACTTTGAACACATTTTCCAACACCATCACTGAAAAGAATCAATTCTTCTATGATCTTCCTTATTCACCATTCAACTTTTACATGCATATGAGGCAACTGAAAATACCAAGCTTGGGTCAGACATACCTTAATTCTCAAACTGAAAACTTTGCTCTTGAACATTTTAAAAAGGTCTTGTGCATCAGATTTGCCTAATACAATATGTCATTTGATTTCTTGACTGCTGCTTCCATGGGCATTGAAAACTCCAGTCTTTGAGAACTTCAGTCTCTTCTGTTTATCGTGATGTCATGCATTGATCCAGGAGTGAGGATTTGTTGTTGTTTTCTTTACATTATGGTGCTATGCATACTGAAGGCTGTAAGTATTACATCTTTGTTGTTGTTGTTGTTAAGTGCCGTCGAGTCGGTTCCGACCCATAGCGACCCTGTACAGGGTTTCCGAGGGTGTAACAGCATTTTCAGTCCTCTTCACGTCTAGCAGGCATGGCTGTACCATCTGCATATCACTGTGGCCACTTACTTCTTCATATAATCCAGTTTCTATTTGCTTAGCAAGCAGAATGAGTGAATATAGTGAAAGAATACAGCCATGGCACACACCTTTCCTGATTTTAAAGCAGTCAGTGTTCTTGTGTGCTTTACTATCAACTGCCTCTTGGTATATGGACAGATTCCTCGTGAACATAATTGTTCTGGAAGACCCATTTTTCTAAACGTTTCCCATAGTTTGTCATGAGCAACACAGTTGAAAGGCTTTGCACAGTCAGTAAAACACAAGTAAACATCTTTTGGAATGCTCTGTTTTCAAGCCAAATCCTTTCAACTTCAGCAGTAATTTCCCTATTGCCACTTCCTCTTATGAATCCTGCTTGAATTTCTGGTCGTTCTCTGGGAATGTACTGTTGTTGTTTTTGAATTATCTTCAGCAAAATTGTGCATGCATGTATTGTTGATGATATTGTTCGATGATATCTGCATTCCAGAATAATTACAGATGTTCCCATATCATTATTCCATCTATATTTACAATCTAGCATTGTAAGAAAGAACTTTGCTTTCTCCCATATTTATCAATATGGGATAGTGATTCTCATCTTATTTAGTGGTTATGAATTGGGCTGCGAACCTCAGAGTCAGCATTTCGAAACTACCAGCTGCTCCAAGGGAGAAAGATTTACAGCCTCAGAAACCCTGTACAGGGTCGCTATGAGTTGGAACCGACTCCATGGCACATCACAAAAATCCATTATTACCATCATCTGCTTTGAAGTTCATATTTTTCATGATTTGGCCAGTGGTTGCTCCTTTCAATTGAATACCGTATCCTTGTCACAAATCTTTGGGAATGTGTGAATATTTGTTTCCCCGAGTGTTACAGAAGATATTCTTAGACTTACGTTGCATCCTTTCTCTGCTTTAGATGATTCATTTCTGGGCAGATCATCTCGATACTTGTTGAGGCGTTTTCAAACCTTTGTAACGGTGGGGGCAAAGGGGCTCCTTAGTCTGGGGCTGCAGTAGTCCTATCATACAGTGTGCCTTTTCTGGAGGGTCAGTTGCATGTCCACAGTCTTTGGCAAGGTCTATCCAGTTTTGCCAAATGGAACTACTGCATCTGGAAGCACTGTGAACCCCCAGGATTTCCCATCAGTTCACAGCTTTCCAGCAGCTGTCCTGCACCAGACTTGAGTCTCATTCTGAGCAAGTGAAGCTTATTATTCAGTAGAAACTTCACTGACGCTGCTTCTCTGGACAACAACCTTCTCTCAGGTTATACTCTGCCAACTCCACCTGCCTCTACAGCCAGAAATACTGCTTTCTGCCTCCTGAACTCACTTGGACAGCTCTGTGGTGCTGAGACTGCACCGCCCACACCCGAGTTCACGACGTGCTCCAGGCAGAAGCTGAAGAACTGCGGTGGCTTTCCTCAGGTGTTTCTCCGGTCTGCACCATCAGAGCTTATCCCTTGCCAATAGTCAGATGGGTTCTTCAGGGATTCTGTCTAATTTTACAGCTCTTTACAGCAGGAGAGTTAGTGAGGTTGCTACAGCATCACTGCCTAAAGTGAATTTAACATCTCTTATATAGGAGTTAAGGAGCTCTGTGTAGCGTAATGGTTACGAATTGGGCTGTGAACCTTAAGGCCAGCAGTTCGAAACTACCAGCCGCTCTGCGGGAGAAAGATGAGGCATTCTGCTCCCGTAAAGATTTACAGCCTCGG